CATGAAGAAGCATTGCTGTATGGTATTTAAGGGACTGTGGTCTGCTTCTGCAAGATCTTCCCTGACAGAAACTCCCAATAACTGCATGTACCTTGGTTTTAGAGACTTCCGCCTCCAGCTTGTTCAGCCTGACGGGTGACACGGGCCCAAGACTGATGTTCTGCAGCTGCTGCTTCAGCCAGACCAGAACACCGTCCATCTTCTCCAGGTCGACCAGCAAAGCGTAAGAACAGCTGTCACGTTCTGTCACAGAAGGAAGTTAGTTACTTATATCTCTTTATGTGAAAACACAAGACGCATTTTCAACACAAACTCACCATGGCAGGGATCACCAGAGCTGCTGTTACCAGACAGATGGCACTCTGTTTAAAGGAAAAGATGTTAAAACCACTGTAGCTGCTGTGTTCAAACTGTTGCTGAGTCTTCTGTGGCTACAAGTGTGATAACATAAAGCCGGATGATGTCATCTGGGTTATTCTCTCAGACTTAGGTTGCGTTCGTATTGTCTGCTCACCCACCATATATAGTTTGCTACGTAGAAGACTTACTAGGGGATAAGGGCGGACAGCTGTTGCTATATTTCGGGCCCTGCTTGAATGTTAACGCTGCTTCATAATTACAATTACGGATAATTATCTCTGTCGCATAAACAAAGCAGGAACATCTGCACCACATCTGAGGCCATGGACACCACAGCATTGCTATTTTTACTGCTTTTTCTTCTGCCAACAGAGAGATGGGCTGCAATGCATGATGGTCTGATTCAATCGATAACATTTTAATGTTTCTTGTGATGGTTTTGCAGGGCATGATAGATCAGAATTCATACCGCACTACAAAACAGCTGATTTACTATATAAGGAGCCAGTGGATGCTCCTAACAGAGCCTTAGAGACTAGACATATAGAAAGCATGGCGTTAACATGAGTGTTCATCAGGTAGGAAATACAGTGCTGTTGTCACATCATGAGAAATGTAGAGGATGTAAATAGTTTTGCAGTTTGACCTGTTACAGAGCCCAAAAAGTCAGGTTGTCATGGCCTGTTCAGCTTAGATTTTAATCAGTTTTTACACTTTGGTTCTCAATTAACCCCCCCAAACCCATCTCTGTGTGTCAAAGTGACATTTTTAAAAGTCTTTTCCTATAAAAATAATCCTTTCTTGCATTGAAATGACTTACATGTAACTCTACATCGTCACTTTTTCTAGAATGTGCAGATTTACGTAGCTCCTGTCTCTTTCTCCTCTGATTTCTTTCCACTCATGGCAACTCAAGCACACCAGTTCACCTGTAATTCTGTTCAAACTACTCTACAGTACACAATGACAAGTTGTAATGATGAAGAAATTCAGCCATACATGCTTGACCCACAAACCAGTCTAAATGATATACTAAGCTCCACCCTGTATGCTGACAATATTGGTTCTTTTTTGTCCACACTACCAGATAGAACACGTGTAATTTCACTTGTTGGTATTATGAATCTCTATTCTAACTAACATGTTCACAACAACTGACTAATTCAGTCCTGAACACAGAAAATATAGCTTTATTTACCTTTAAAAGCCCTCTCCAGTTGTTGATTTAACCCCATAAAAACTCACCACTGTGCCTCTTCCTATGAAAATAATTCCTTCCTGCCTTATAATGGTTTAGATGTAACTCTGCGCTTTTGCTTCCTTTCGTATATGCAGATGTACAAAGCACCTGCCTCTTTCTCCACCCACCCCTTCCCCACTCACTGTAGCTCGAGCACACCAGCTCACCCATAACTCTGCTCAAACACTGTTAAATTACTCTACACTACACAATTACACATTCTAGCAACGTTTGACCCAGAAATTGATTCTGAAGACTGATATTGATACAAAAACCCCCACAGTGCAAGCTGACAGAATTGGTTTCCAAGGTTTGTTATGTTTGAAATTAGATTCGGAAACTAGCATTTCAAGGTAGAAGTGCTCAGCCCTGGCCTTGACTGCCTTTTACACTCATGATGTGTCTTCCACCATATACAAAAACAACATATACACATTTTAGCAACATTAAAAACTTGATTTTTACCAGCGAGGGTCTTTATAAGACCGATGGCCAAGACTGTATTTAATTGAAAGCCACTTCTATTCAACTTTAGTCTGTATTTGTGACAAAAGTATACTCACGTCCAGTCAGAGCATCACAAATGTTTGAGTTGCTGCTCTTGCAGTTGCAGGGCTTGCAGCTGCCTCCATGTACCAGTGGATTCCCATAATAGCCATAAGCACATCTTAGGTAAAATAAACATGAGAGGAAAAGAGCTGTTGGGATTTGGGCCCAACTTTTTGCTGCGCTCATGAAGATGTAAATGACAGTCTTGAGTGTACTGAGACCTTCTCAAGCCCATGAAGAGGTTATTTTGAAAAGCACAAGTAAATACTGCAGGTGTTTGTGTGTCCCACCTCTCACATCTGGCTCCACTGTAGCCACGTCTACACAAACACTCAATGACTCCTGAGCCCACGTCCATACAGGCCAGTGCAAAACTTTAACAAAAAAAGAGCAAAGAAAACTTTTATTCTCATGCAAAATCAAAAGTTTAATGAGCTAAAACTCACAGTAAGTCATCACCACACACTGACTTGTTTTGCGTGAAGGGACATGGACAGGCACGGCAGGTCCTCTTGGTTGCGTTTCCATAGTAACCCTCTTTACAGCGCTCACAGTGGTCCCCAGTCGTGTTGAACTGACATTTCTGGAGATCAGTTAGATCAAACACAACAAAGGCAACATGATTTCCATCAGGTTAGGCAATATGGACACCGCACTGATGTCTGGTACAAATTAACAGCTGGCCCAGTGCTATCGTTGTGTGTGTGTGTGGGTGTGTGTGTAAGTGTAGGTGTGTATGTATGTGTGTATGTGTGTGTGAGAACCAACCACACAGTTCCCTGTACGTTCGTCACACTCTTTGGAGAGTCCGTTGCAGCTACATGGTACACACTGACCCCTGTTCGGTCCGGTCCACTCTCTGTAGAAGCCAGAGCTGCACTTCTGTTTGAACACAGAGAGCTGAACAGTCAAATGTGGGACAATTAACACGAGCAAACACTCCAACGCTGCCTGACCTGGTTAGAGTTAATGTGTTATCACAGAGTAATCACACCGGAAGAACGTGGAAATTTAATCCTGTGTACACACAGATATGTTGGCACAAAGAAAATAGAATTCTTTCACTGGTTCCAGTTGTAAACCAGGGTGTGACGTGCTGAGGTGCACGTGTGTGTGTCGGAAAATGGACACACACAAGGTCATTATGTAGCGTGGTGGAGGTGTCTTAGATTGGCCCATAATAAAACGCACATGCGTGATATTTACTGTGACTTTCTCTGAAGATTTAATAGCAGAACACAAACTGACTTTTTGACTTTGTTTCACATCGCAGCATGCATTGTAATCCCACAAAAGCCAACAAATAGCTGAATTACCTGAGCGACACCACCTGCTGTCTGGTTGCTGAAGGAAGGATCACAGAACTTTATCGTGCTGTGGCTTCTCTCACCGTGTCTGTCTTTCCCAAACTTTGAATGCTTCTGAGCGGAGCAACAAATCGGAGCAAAGCAGAGCAAAAACAAAGAGGCTGCTCTGCAAAGCAAAGATGTATTCCACTGCATTTTAAGCTTCTCAGTGATCCATGTGAGTCTTGCAGTGGAAAAAAAAAAAAAACTTCCCTCCCAGAGTGCTACTCCTCCTCTTCCTCCTGCTTAGTAAAACCTCTGGAGCAGGTGAACCTTGGAGCTTTTTGTACCACAAAGTTGTACTGTATTCGAAGTGACAGTGAGTGTAAATGAGTGCAAACCTACAGTTTGGCTCAAAGTTCAGTGAGGTGTGGTTGAGCTCTTTAAGATGCATTTGAGCCTGCAGTAACGACAATGTGTGAATTATGTTCATTCAGACAAAGTGTAAAAGAGGCAACACACATATTTAAATCAGCTGATGGAAAATAGTTTATTATAGCTAATTAATAAAACCATCAAAAATCTCCGATACAAAAAAAAGTCAAGTGTAAAAGAATTATTTGCATTGACAATTCAAAGAATCACTTTATTTTTTCCATATCTAACAGATCAAGATAACACCCCAACCACTAACTTCCCCTACCCTTCATCCCTCCCATACACTATATGTAATTTCTTATTAATACAAGTGCTACAGCAATAAAAAAAAAAAAAAGACCAATATTTTGCAGTCTCGCACTATAACATGTGAATTACAAATAAAACTGTTATTCCGTTAATCAGTATCCAAATGCAGAGCGACTGATTTATTGTATTTGGTACAAAATCAACATGGCTGGAAACCCAAACATCTGTCAGACATTGTGGACCCGCCAGAAACTGCAATGTGGTAGAGAAGTGGGTAGCCTGAGGGAACATCATTTCACTAACTGAGTTTGGGAATGTTTGGACACATATGTGAACATTACTTATAGACTGTATCCATTGGCCAATGTACTGCTGCCGTTGTTGACAGTAAACATCTAGTAGAACCCTTCAAATGACCACCTTTCTGATTGTAACAGTCCCCTGTGGCAGTTCATTGTTGCCTACATATAGTGTAGCAAATGAATTACTGCATGGTCAGATGTGCTGTGTAATAGTCTATATATTGTTGTTGCACTACTGGGACCATGAATGTCAAATTCTGAAGTTACATACTTTTTTAAGCTGCACTTATTCATCTGTTGAAAGTTTGACCAACCAATAAAACTTTTAGATGGCTAATGTCAGTGAACATTGAGCCATCCAGGCTTGTGTGTGTTCTACATCCCTGAGAGAAGCCATGTTTTCACTGTAAAAGGTTGATGAGAATTTGTGTCCATTTAGTTACACTGTCAGAAATGTTCAGAGAATACACATGATAGGAGTACGAAGATGACTTGCATGAGCACAGACTAATATTTTCTGGAGATTCAGTGCGGACGAAGTGCATTAACACTCAACTCTGCAGCACTGTGTCATTATCACAGAGTGGGGTACAAGGCATAACTGGCAATACCACAAGCGTTTCTGCCATCCCGGACCAGTCTCATATAGCCGCCTTCACCCCAGCTGGATCCCCAGCTAAAGAAAAAGAAGAGAAAAGCAGGAATTCACATTGAGTAGGAAATGCAGTGATTGTAAATGTGATGTTGTTCTTTATGCACAGAGTTGAACAGACCTGTTTTTGATGATCCAGTAGTCTTGGCCATCGTCTGAACCATAGCCAACCAGCAGTACTGCATGACTCAGGTTATTTGGGTTACAGTTGGGCTCGTCGTATATTCCTGTAAAGAAAATTGAAACCTGCATTAACATATTTAGCTTACATGGGATAAAACTAAAAACACAACACCGACATATTATCACCTCAAAGTCTTTGATTCAAGTCCTGTCATTGATTCAGCCATTTAAAAAAAAATGATTTCTATGTGTCAACATTATATATATTTTGATGTTTTCCTGTGAAAATAATCCCCTCCCGCCTTAAAATGGTTTAGATGTTGCTGCAACTGAGCACACCAGCTCACCTATGACTCTGCTCCAACTCTATAAAGCTACTGTACACTACATAATGGCAAGCTGAAATATTAGAGTCATTCAGCCATACGTGTTCAAACTGGAAACCAATTTTGATGAAGAAGAATGATACAGAAAGCTCCACCCTGCAAGTTAATGGGGATTCTTTGGGGGGTTTAATGTATGAAACCCCAGAAGTCTGAATCTGAGTTTTTTAGATTGCCATCCATACCCTGCAGCTTCAAGGTGGAAATGCTCAACCATGACGCTGACTGCTCATTTTTCTCATGACATGCCTCCTTGTATGTAAAAAAAAACAAAACAAAAAAAACAACTCTATGGACATTTTCATTGAATGGGGTCAATATAGGAAACTTTTTAGCAAAGACTTCCAGCAGATGAGGAGCACCCTTGGCATTAACTTGGACTCCTTTAACGCCACCGCTTTACCTGCTAAATGCTCCACTATGTTCACCAGCTAGCTGCTAACACTGATTGTCTGTTGTTCGGTGCTGAGCAGGTAGTGTTCAATGTATTCATTCTTAAATTTAAGGAAAGTTAACCTGAGCTGTAGAACATAAAGCTTGAATGATCTGCATCAATGGCTACTGTGATGGGTCCTATAGTTGCCACAGCGTCGGCCAGAGCCTGCTCATCTCCTTTGGGTATGAACCTGTAGTCTTTGATATGAGCAACTGCAAGTCTGCTGTCATAGTAACAGGGCTGGGTGTCCTGTTGAAAGAGATAAATGTTAACAGCAGGCTGGACACAGAATCATTTAGTGCTGGGATGGACGCTGAGCCAGCAGGTTGAGCCTCACCGCTGAGGTGTACGGGTAGGTGTTTGTCGACTGCAGGCCGTTGTTCACCACATAGTCGTAGGCGTTGGCCATCCAGGCACCACTGCAGCCGTAGGTACCGTAAGGTTTGGAGCAGTCCACTAGGTTTTGCTCACTCAGGGATACAAGCTGACCGGTCTTCTTGTATATTTGTCCCTCTATAGCTCCTGTAGTGCTGAAGGCCCAGCATGAGCCACAGTAACCCTGAAAGGAACATCCAAAATACAGATGTGACTGTGATTCAGCTTGAACAAATCCCATTCAACTGACTTCAGGAATGTCTTACCTGATCTTTAACCTCAGTGACGTAACCCATTTTCCTATAGTCGACAAACCAGGAATCAAACTTCTTTGCATTGTTGCGCAGCCTCCAGGCCGAGACTTCCCTTCCTCTCCTTACGTGCCGGGCGTTTATATTGGCACCTTGCAAAACCTGGTATTCTTGTTTTGTCTACATATAGAATACACAAAGATTGTTTTCAAATAATTCATCATATTGTTAAAATGTAAAAGTCACATTTCTACATTTTGGGAAACTAACCTATTTGCTTTCTTGCCAGGAGGTTCATGAATAGTTTGTGTAGATTCTCATATGGGTCATGATCGTTCTAAGAGCTTCAGTAGAAGGCAATCGTTTTGTTCTTGAAGATATTTTCTTCTTAACCAAGACAATTCTTTCGCACTATATAATTGACGGGGAGTCAACAGGTATGTTTGAAGATGTCACCCCCAGATTGCATAGCTAATGACACATTAACACCCCCAAGGTTACATAACTCTGGGTGTTAAAGGTTCTGAGTCTACAGAGGAGTGGTCTATGGCACCATTTATCAGGTACTTATAATGCACTCTTGAGAGTCCTGTCCAGGCAGTTTCACAACTATTCACATCTAGAGGCATGTGACTGTTGGTTTATTAAGGGGCAATTAACCATGTAGTTTGGTTACGATGTGATTTGGCATACCTGGGGCCCATTAGTCAGTAGAACTGAAGAAGTCTCTTGGGTAAGAGGTGAAATATCTTAAAGAGCAAAACAAGAAGTCCATTTGCCTTGAGGAGATTAATACTGATCTCATGTCAGTGTGTTAAATAGCCTTAGCCTAGCTTAGCACAAAGACTGGAAACAGGGGGAACAGCTAGCCTGTCCCAAGATAGGGTGTTTTGACCATTTGTGCTGCCCTGTCAAAAAATGCTGCTGTAGTGCAAATTAGCAGCAGTCTGATAACCATAATCTAGAATGGTTTACTGGCACATATCAATATGGATCACAAGTCAACTCAACAGAAACAAAGTCTACCTACAATTTCCTTTAAAGTTCATTTCTTAACATATTATGCTCAAAACAAAATGTTACCACACAGCTTCAATAAAGCATGTCTCAATATGACTTACCAGATCGCCATATTTATTCATGGCCATAGAGAACGGCCTCATCCCCATAAAAAACCCTTGATTGTTGTTTTCAATCAGTCGCTTGTTCTCCTCCCAGATGGCCCTCCTGTGCATGTCATCCTGAATTAAAACAGAAAAAAGAAAAAGTCAAGCAAATCAGAGCACATGTGTAATTATCACTGACACTCGTAGATGTGCAGTAAGTCTCACTGATTCATCATAGCTTATGCCGTGGCTGCTTTTCCAGATCTCCCACTCGGTCAGGACCGCCTCGTCTGAGTCCGACAGCACATGTGGCGGGCCGCACAGCAGGACGGAGAGCAGAGCTGCCCTCAGCAGAAAGCTGGCCTGCTGGACTACAAAGACCAGAGCATCACAGTGGAGTCACACATTTTTATGATACCTACTTTAAACACATACTTTACAGAGGTGTCTATAAATTACTCTTCACTAGGAGAAATATTGTGAAACTACTGTTTTTGTACACTTAGACTGGATCTTTTTGCAGCATCCTTTTATTCATTCTTACCCATATGAGCTGCAGGTTAAATCATCAGAGAGAGAAGCTGATTGTTCTGTCTGAGCTGAATGTATCAAAGCTATTTAATTCTAATAGATGCATACTGCTTGACAAAAAGATGGAGTTCCCTGACCCAAACTGCAGCATCAATCAACAAACCTTTCAGCACTTCTACTCATAAATGTGTTCTCTACTTTGTAAACTGCATAGAAAAGAAGCCACAACTGCCTAGTGTAACAAAAGATGAATATATGTTTTTTAAAAAACTAAAGTGTGTTTGACACTTAATCTTTTTTGTGAAAAAAAAATCTAATTTGTACAAGCAGCACTGCATGTATTCTACTCTTCAATGACTAAAATCTGAATCAAATGTGACTAGACTTAAAATGAAAATGTCAAAGTGCCTGTATTTTATTTAGAATGAGAATTATTCAATAGTAATGGATCACGACAAGGACTTGACCCCGTTGCTCCAGGTTTAAAGTAGAATTAAAGAATTCATCTCCCTTACTGTGACGCTTCCCTAATTTGTTTTCACAGAGAAAAAACTTTTTTAAAAAACAGCATTCTTTATACAAACTTAATTTTTTAAAGATTGTAGTTATTTTTGCATATGAAGTAAAAAAGCCTTTCCCAGCTTACCTGAACAGATGTGACTTTGTTTTTTTCCCATATTCTAAAAGCGAGTGAACAGTGACAGACGATGGACCTGCCTTATATAGTGTTCCAATTAAGTACATGTTTCCACTGTACTTTTACTTAATCCCTAAATCAACACTTGTGCGAGCACCTGAGAAGGACATTAGTCAACAAAAATAAGATGCTTTCCCTGCTCCTCCTCAGCAATACCGCTATTATCATTGAGAGACAGCCAAAGCTGCAATATTCTAAATCCCTCAAATACTGGTTTATAATTGAGCACAACACCTGACATCTAACTTTCCAAAACCAGTGGTGAAAGAAGAACTTTATTTAGGTAAATGTGCCAGTGCGTTAATTTAAAAATACTCTAAGATTTCTGCATTCAAAATCAGACTGAAGTAAAATTTCTGAAACAGTAATATGTAGTTAAAGCATCAGTGAAAGTACACGGTGTGAACACAAGCAGCTGCTGGGACTGATATGACATTACATGGGTGGTAATACTGATGCATCAGGCAGCATCTCACTGTTTCAACTCTTTTATGTCCACTCGAGTTGTTTATTTCTGTTTCCAACTTGGAGTTCTGGCCTCTCCAGAAGGTCACAAGATAAGATGTAAGGGGTTGTGTCAAGATTAATGGAATAGGAAATTGGAAAACTAAAGTTCTGAACACAAAGAGGATTGCTTTGAGATGTTGAGGTAACGCATAATGGAACATTCTTCCATAAATCACAATGTTACATGACAACAAAGGGAGAACGTTCTGAATGCAACGTCCAGCAGCATGTTTAGAATGTTTTAAGAGAACTTTATCCTGCTTTAAAGAAGGACATTCTAGGAATTATATATGTATGTATGTACATATATATGTTTCCTGTGAAACATTACCAGAACTATGCAGGACTTTCTCAGAACACATTTAGAAGAAAGATCATTTAGCTGGGAAAGATTATCATCATCATCATTATTTTTAGTAGCAGTAGTATGTACGTAAAAGTAGAGCTTAATTACCAAGTAAAATGAAGTATAAAAAGGGTCAACTGGGGGGAGACTCCCCCTTTACGTCTTTTGTTCTTTTAAAATGTATTTTTGTATTTTTTAATGTAAACTTATATGTAAACTGTAAGCATGCTTAAGTGAACAAATTAAAATTAAAAGGAAATCATAACAGACTACAACTTTGCTATTTTAAAACTAAATGTGACATCTTCCCCCACACCCAGAGGATGAATAAGATAAACTGTGTATTCTCACATTTTAAAGTTGGTTTGACTTTAACCGCAACTTAAAGGTAAGCTAACGCATGTAGGTTTTTGTTAAACTGTTTGATCATTGTCAATTAATCTATAATTTAGGGATTTATAAAATGTCAAAATTAACTGGGACGTAAAAACAAATTAAGCTAGCTACCTGGTGCTACAGCAAACAAATACAGTGTAACACTGTTAGCTTAATATGAAGACAGATAGTCTTTTACACATATAATAATACATTATTTTACTGTTTTGGGGTTTTTTTAGCTAGTATGTTGCTGTATTAGATAATTGTGTGCATAATTTACCAAACATCTAACATTAGCAAGGCTAAAGTTTTAAAAGTCATTGACGTAATGAGGGCCTTCTCCCCTCAAAAGTCCTACTCATACATGTTCACATATTACAAAATAAATCTTTTTTTTAAAATTCAGATTAATGGATAGCTCTCCCCATGGCTCACAGTGTATAAAGTTTATCTGTATATATTCTGATAAAAACAAACAAACAAAAACACAGGACTATTTTGTACTGTCATAATATTCTACAATTTCATTGAGCAGAATATTACATCCTGTCGACTCAAATGTGCTTCTTTTGATTTCCTCCCATCAGTACAATAATTTCAATACTATTCAAAGCTTTAAAGACTTAAAATAAAAGCTGACTGTATGTAATGGTCAGGAGGGGACAGTGTGTGTAATGTTGGGTTCATGTACCTGGCTTCACCCTGTAACACACACACACACACACACTCTATGGTAACACACACACACACTCTATGGTAACACACAACCTCTGCTCTGCACTGCCACGACTGTGTTCATCAGCGCCCCCTGGCGGCCCGCCGTGCATCTCCTCACAGGACTCACTGCGGAGGATGAGCTCAGCTGATTGTCTGCCTGGTATTATTATTATGTCGCCAACACCCAAACACAGTGCGGCAAAACAGGCGAGTGGCGCTCAGCATCGCGTCTAATGAACGAGTGCGCAGGAAGAAGCCATGAGTCACGCATGAGGTGCGCAGGATGTCTTTCAAGGTAAGCCAGCTTTCTGCACGCATCATGCTCTGCACGCAGGGCCTCAATGAGAAAACAGATCACGGCTGCTTCCTCTGAAAGTGCCCACCGGTTTATTTTGCATTTACGTGGTGTATTTAAGTGTGGAGCTGCAGCAGGAAACAGATGAGCTGACTTTAGACTTTAATACAATCATACAGTGTAGCTCTGAGTGTGTGTGTCAGTGTGTGTGTGATGGTATCAAATGGCCAGTGGTTCCTTCTCACATTAAGTGCATGAGTGTGTCTATATAGTACTGATCTGGTGCACAAAAGGCAAGTTCCATCAATAATTCAGCATTAAAATTTTGGGGTGAAGACAGTTAAGATTAGGCAAGTTTGACTGTGGCTACTTGTGAAGCTACTTCTGATCACAGCTGTGAGGTTATTGATCATATTCACTGATTGGTGACTCACCTGGCTGTCATTCATAGACCGCCACCTCCACACTCAGTTCTCACACCAGGACCCTGCTGCTGTTACTATCTGCTGTCAGCTTGTGTAATGCCATAATGGTGGTTTCAGGTCAGTGTTTGTTGTGTGTATTTACCCCGCAGAAGGAAACACCCCTGGCTAATGCTGTGTTTTGGGCAGCGAGGAAGGGGAACTTGGCTCTGCTGCAGCTGCTGCTCAACAGTGGCCGCGTGGACGCAGACTGCAGAGACAGTGTACGGACGCTGCATGTCCCGGCTGCTCAGCTGCACGCTTTAGCCATAAGCCACCTGTGGTAGGGACACAGAGAGCTTCAAGCCTTAACCTCTGTGGTGCATGTGTCTGTACCATCCATAGGCTGTATGTAAATATCTGTATCTAGTCTATGGCACCATTACAGTCTCACATCCATGTCATGACTTGTCCCGTCATCGTTAAGGTTGAGCCATAAATGTGCAGAGTTTAGTGTCTTCATCGTGGCATTTAAAGCTCTTTTCAGCAAGCGTTATTACTGGCGTGTTTCTTTTCTTTAGTATGGGACCACAGCGCTGATGGTGGCGTCGTACAGCGGACACTATGAGTGTGTCAAAGAACTCATAATGCAAGGAGCCGACATCAACTACCAGAGAGAGGTATGCTTGGAAAATAACCTTGTGGCCTTTATGGGATTCCAGGAAGTAACTGCACCCAGTCAGGAAATAGTCTGACCCATAAATTGTTGTTTTTCAACAAATGGCACATTTTATAGTCATTTAAGGGTTTTGATAAGTGCATTTGTTTTTATCTACCAGTTGAGGAAAAACTGGGATTTGTGAGGAGGCAGAGCCCTTATCCACTAAGTTTTTGTCTTATAGGCCAAACTCCTGATGGTAGAAAGAGGTCTGCTTTCTTCAAGACAAAGTAGTTCTAGTTCAAAGTGTACACACTGTGATGTGTGTAGATGTTGACTGTCCAGATTAACAAAGACTCTGGACAGACGTGTTGCAGCTGAGTTTTCGAATGTTCCTTTTTGGTGTTGTACCACAAACTAATTTCAATTCTCTTCCACTGTTGCGGTGCTGTATTGGTGGCATTTTAGACTTGCATGTCTTAAATTAAATGTAACTATCTCAACAGCAAGATGCCACCAGAGAGAAGCGGGGCTATTCCCATTTTTGCATCATTTCATTTGTGTGCTTTCTTTAACTTTTGTTAATTTGGATAAAAGGTTAAATGAATTTAAACAACAGCAACAAAAAGGTAACATGAAGCACTTTGACGTACCGAAATACTAACAACACTACACTCACACACTGGTAGACACGGACCCAAATACAGTGCAGTGATAGGCCATTCTTTAGTATCATTTGCATTCCATTCCTGGTTTAGAAGACACATTCCTTCCATTCATGAACAAAGACATAGAATAAATGATCTAGATTCATTTACAGGCTAAGAAGAAGAATTTGTATTTTCATTATTAGACTGACGGTCTGTTGCCTTCAGTTCCAAGCTCACAGTATTAGCACTGAATTACTGAATTTAAACAGCAAAACTAAAAAACACTGTAATAATGCACGTATTGACAGTTCTGACGGTGCAGGATTCCTCCTAAGTTTAAGAGAAGATAATTTTTTTCAGCTGTTATAAATCTATAAACTGTTTTCTGCCTGCAGGTACATATTTAGTCTGTAACAAAAGCAAAATGTCAAGCAGTTCCTTTACACCAAAGGAACTCTTCGCACATCTGCTCCATGAGGCAGGTGCGTAGGAGAGGGACGAGTGTATCCAAAAGTTTCAATCTGACTCCCACACGCTGTCCTGCATTGGCGTGACAGTTCGTTACCAGACCTTCTTCAACCATATGGTATATCAGAGCCTGCAGACCTGATGAAGGTTTAAAACCGAAACGTCGCGCCATTAAATGTATCTATGCAATTTAGACAGTGTGTGGGAGTCTGATTGGAACTGCTCTTTTAAAAATAAGTGTTTTTCATGTTAGTTTTATGTTAAAGTGAACATATCTCATTATCTTGGCCGCTAACATGGGTAAAAAATTAAACCCAAAACTAGACAATCCCCCTGACTGAATTTACTTCAACACTTGTTTCTTTTGTTCCTCATTGCATATATAAATAGAAACATGTAAAGATTGTGTGCAACATTAGGGTGAAGGTCATTTAGCTAAACAGCCGTGTCTTTATTTATCCTTGCAGACTGGTTCTACCGCCTTGTTCTTCGCCTCCCAGCAGGGACACCATGACGTGGTGAAGCTCCTCTTTGAATTCGGTGCCTCCACTGAATTCCAGACGAAGGTATGCTGCCGGTCACGGTGACGTGTACACGGCCTTTGTGACACTGGGTGTGATTTGAGAATGCTGTAATTGCTATCATCCGACGTCAGGATGCATCATGCAGAGATAAATAGAAAGTTTGCTGCTCAGTTTTCCGCTCTTTAGATAGTCACAGCAGCTCACAGTTGGTACGCTCAGCTTGTACGTCTTTGCGTTTTGCTGAATGCGCTCGCTCTGCCGTCATGTGTGTCTGTGGCAGGACGGCGGCACAGCTCTCACCGTCGCCTCTCAGTACGGCCACTCCAAGGTGGTGGACACCCTGCTGAAGAACGGAGCCAACGTTCACGACCAGCTGAACGTGAGGCCCTTTGCATCCACATCTCACAGCCTCTCACTGTCAGTCTGCTGTCTTTAAGCCTCCTTGTCTGTCAGGAACGTGATGGTTAGTTGCACACAATGTCCCGGCAGCTGGAATCCAGCCTCTCAGGTTTCTGCAGTCTGCTGAGTCAGACGTGAATCACATTGGGTTGGATTAGTGTTCGTCCTCAGGCTGGGGAAAACAACCTGATGGCACAGAAGTCTATTTATAAATAGTAGTAATGTATTGGTGTTTTATTAATACACTTTTTGCTTTTCTGACTGCTTTTTTAGCTCCATTTTTATATATTTTAGGATGGTGCCACCCCTCTTTTCCTCGCTGCCCAAGAGGGTCATGTGACTGTGATCCGACAGCTGCTGTCATCTGGTGCCAAAGTTAACCAAGCGAGGGAGGTAATGTCGTCCTCTTTAGCACACAGCTCTTGCATCCACTCTCCTCTTTCCTGTGACCTCCTTCCTCTTACGTCCTCTGCAACCCCCTCCTCATCCCTGTGTTTTCAGGATGGCACTGCCCCCCTGTGGATGGCAGCTCAGATGGGCCACAGTGAGGCGGTGAAGGTGCTGCTTTTACGTGGTGCAGATCGGGATGCTGACAGACAAGTACATGGATCTTTTAGGACTAGTCGAGTACACTAAAGTGTAAATAAAGGGATTATTGTTATTGATTGGTGCCATTCAGACCTGCTGCCCTCAATAAGACTATTAATCAGCCTTGAAATTGGTATGAAATGCCTAACATCAGACAAGGAGGCTTTAACCTGGAAGCTTTTTGCACAAATCAAATTGTGAAAATATTAGAGGCTGAGAAAATGGAGAACCGTCGAGAACTTTACGATTTAGTAAAAAAGCCTCACAGCAAGTGAGTAAGTGGATCGAAAGTGGAGATTTTATTAAATAATTGTTCGCTTTCTCTGCCGTCTTTCAAGGATGGATCGACAGCGTTATTCAAAGCAGCTTTGAAAGGACACAACGGCGTTATCGAGGAACTCCTCAAGTTTTCTCCGTCACTTGGCCTTCTCAAGGTAAAACATGGTGCCATGTAGGGGCTTTTCACTGAAGGAAGTTGGGGACGATGCAAAGCGACACAAGTGTTTTTACAAGAATGCCTTTCTAATCTGCCCTTTCAACCTTTCTTTTTTCATTTTGATGAAGGTTCCTGTAGCTTGGACCATGATGGTAACTCCAAATATACAAAGTAGTGACAAATAGTTATTACTGAGTGTAACTCCAGTTGTTTCTACTCGTAGGAAATAGAATAATAGAGGTTTGTTAGTTGGCCTTTATGGCACATTTTACATTGCTGATGTTAGAGAAGAGAAGACTGCTACCCAACAAGGACATCAAGAGGGTAGAAAACAGGCTCTTGTTGTCTTCACTGAGTTTAACCAATCAGCATCAAGAACCAGACTGCTGTTTTGTTTTGGGGTCACTTAGAAGTATCTACCCTGGAGTAGAGACGTGAAAACAGCTCTGAAAAAAGTTCTGCGGGGATGTGCAAACGGTCAGGCCTTGCAGATATGGTGTACAAGCTCTTGCAGTGGAAAATGGCATATTGGTGTTGTACAGGCGTCTCTACAGTTAAACTGGAGCTGCAGTGAGGACAGACTTTGTGCAAAATTGTTTCCATGGTAAGAATCTGGCACAGAAGCATTGTAGTGGTTACTTTGTAGAGAATAAGTTCTAACGGGATTTTAGGGATGCTGGTAGGTACTTTTAGGCAGCCTTGGACAGGGCCAGGCTAGTGACTTTCCTCTGTTTCTAGTCTTTAGCTTTGTGCCAGTTCAGGGCCTGGACCCTTGAAGTCTGCAAATGCATCACAGAAGTGCAACAAAGCCTGTTCCGGTTCAAAGGCTCCTTTGAATGCTGCACAGAAATAAATTTTAGTTTCCCAGCCACAAAGGCTCCAACTGGTGGATCCTTCATGGTGCAACCTATCCCAAGGTTTATCTCTCAGTGGTGATAGTTTTGGACTTCGCAGGTAAAATGTTGGCATCCTACGATTATACTTTTAAATGTATGTATTGGATCACCTTCTTGTCCTCAGTTAATATTTGAAGTTTCATCTTCTGTCCCAACTTTTTGGCTGTCAAGGGTTTCTAACCAAGAGTCAACAACACTGGGTTCGACCTTCGCTTCTTCGGAAGTTGAGCCCTTCGATGGATGTGGCCCCTGAATTGGGAGTTTTATGCTAAACTAATCTAGCCGCCTGCAGGCACTTATTGTTTATTTAGCATACAGATAGAAGCCATATTAATCCTTTAGTCTGTCACTTGGCAAGACAGGGAGTAACGTTGTTCACATGTCAGAGTATTCATTTAATTCATATTTGTTCATGTTTGTCTCCAGAATGGCTCCACTGCCCTTCATGCTGCTGTTTTTGGAGGAAATCTTCGAAGTATTCTGCTGCTGCTCGGGGCAAACGCAGACCCCACACTAGCCAACCAGGTAGAATTTAAAGATTAAATGGAAAAAACAGACAGAACATAAGTCAATGATAGTAGTCATAATACTTGTTCTTGTGTGTGCTTTGCAGAATAACGAACTCCCTGCAGATCTGACAAAGAGCGATCGCATCCTTAAGCTTTTAAATCCGAAAATCTTAAATGGAGGCAGCTGATGACCAGAGTCCTGCCTTCATTCTTGCCTGTACCACACTGTTGATGCGTACTGAGGGGGGAAGATAACAGCAGTGTCAAATCTATTCAATTAGAACATGTATTGCACACGGTGCTTGCTTTTGACTGCAGCTAAAGTGAAACTGTCTTATGCTGAACAAACCTGGATTGAGAATAGAGTAACACAGAATGCATTTGTCTGCCATGTGCATCACTTCCTTTATGCTGTTCTCCTACATTTGTTTTGTTCACCCCAGGTGTAGTAAGATTTCTTGATGTTTTGCACAATATTTATTTGCCTTTTTAATAAATGTAATAAAGTGTCATTTTATTTATTAATGCAGAAGTGTCAATGTGCATGCTTATTATACTAAATTATATATTTTTTATTTTGAAAAATTAGTTTTGCAGTGGCAATAATAAAACAATAGTGCCACATTGCATTGTAGAAACAATATAGTTTGTTTCTTATATTGACAATTGGCATCATTAGACCTGGGTATCCAAGGCTTGTTGTGTTTGTTTTTTTAGTCATTATATTTTTTTTTACATAAGTAAGAATAATAAAAAAAATTGCTTTGCATCTGTTTAGGTGTCATTCTGATCACAAGCTGATCAAAAACCTTGGGATAGTATTTAACTGTTTGTAAAAGCCTGTTTACTAAAGTCAGAATGTTTTTTTTGCCACATTAAGTGCTTTATTACAGAGACTTATCCACTTTAGTCACCTTATTGCTTCCTCAAACAAAATGTGATCGCTTTAATCATTAACATAACCAACAAAATATGACAACAAGGAGCTGAGTAGCAATAACAAGACTTTTTTATTGTTTTATTGTAAGTTGCTGAACTTAGATTAGGTGTCACTGAGCAGTGCGCTGATGTTTTAGTCAGCAACACAGACAGCAGATATGGTCTGATTATTAGTTATTTGTAGTGTGCTGTGGGATTTTATGGGTGAAATTATTCTTCTCATCAGTACTTGTGTCTCTAAAAAGTCATTTACCCAAATGACTTTGTAATTTAAAAAAAAAAAAAAAAAGTATTTCCAAGGTACCTTTAGATGAGACAATACCTCTGTAAATAATTCTAAATAAAGCTGATTTTAGTTTGATCTAGTGCCAACTTTATTATCACATTGGTTCGGTTTTCTCCCAAATTAATAACACTGTAGGGTCTCAGCCTTAATATGTGTCATAGTTAATTCTATTAGTGTTTTAATAGTGGGGTTTTTTTGTAAGAGTTTAATTTTTAATATGTAAATAGATACAATCACAATTTAAATAACACTTCAGGATCCTAACTGTGGTTTTTGGTCTTGTTATGTTACTTTAGTGACACTAATAGTAATCTGATTTACTGAAAAGTACTTTAGTAGAGCTACTGAATGTGCTATACAAAAACCCTCGCTTGACCAGACTAAAACATTTTATCTTATTAAGGTTGCATGTTTGTGATCATATTTCAAGTAGTTTTTGTTATATGTTTAAGCTGAAACTGGTTTTATCTTTTTTTATTGTTATTAATAATAACAATAGGAATACAGAATATGGCTTAAGTATAGAAAGAGGTGTGATCACCTTATTTTCCGTAAAACACAGTGTCTCACACTTCATATTAATTTGATGCTGAAATACCTTGAAAACTGTGCAATTATCAGGTTAAAATCAAAAGCCTGCTGGGCCTGGCTCTGCCTCTGATAACGACAAGTAATCACTAGAGGTCAGTATTAATGTAGTTACATCTGTAAGTCACGTTTGCTGTGATTGAATTCAGTTACTTTCTGGGGTTTTTTTTGGCATTTTTATTGTCGTTGCTGCTGTTTTACAAAATGCGTAAAGTAACGAGTGATGAATATGGACACCTTTGTGGTAAATCTGACAGACTGTGTTGGTTTGGAGAAGCGTGAATGAAACATCAGCTGTTCAAGGTAACAACAGCGTGACGTCACGTGGCCACCGCGGAAGTGACAGCGGAGTTTGTGTTGATGCGGAAGAGAAACGAGCCTTCAGGATGTTTTGCGATTAAAGTTGTCCGAGGACGAAACTTATGCAGCAAAAAAACAAGCAAAAACGAGTTAGAAGGGTTACAGTTTTGTTGAAGTATCGTATTTTACTGAAGTTTGACCGACAGAAGGACTCCTAATGGCCAGCGGCAACTTACAGGTGAGTGACAAAGAGTTTCACTAAACGAGCTACCTGCTTACATAACATGGGTCTGGATCAAACGAGCAAAATGTCAGCTTTTAATAATACTAAAATAGTACGTTTAGCCTAAAAAAAGTACGAGCATTTAAACATGGTTACCTTAAAAACTGCTAAAGTTGTAAAATATGAATAACTAATAATGTTAAATCACTGTTAATACTTTCTGTGTCAGCTGGGCTCATAATAACAGCAGCTAACTTACTAGGTTTTTAAAAGTTACCTCTTGAGTTGTTGGAAAGTAACGAAGTACTTCTAAAAAAGTAGCTAAAAGTTAAGAGGACAAGTAAAAGTGAAGTGAAACAGTCTGTTCTTGTCTGCTTTAGGCTTCTAGTTCACATTTTAGAAGAGAATATTGTTCTTTTTACATTTAATTGACAGTTTCTGAGTTAGATTGTACATCAAACAATATGTTGGGTCTATATAATACAACCTCGTTGATTGTATGTTTTATTATACCTCCCATATCGATCATACCTTTAAAAAATTACCTTCCTGTATCAAAGTTATATGTTTAGATTTCTTTTTTCCATGATAAAAATCTCCTGCTGCCTTCAAATGGCTTCAACCTAAAGCGTCTCCACTGCTTTTTTTAGAACATGCAGATTTATTTGAAGTCTCCGCCTCTCTGCTTCTTTAGCAATAACATTTTCCAACGTGGGTGTTACATTTTACTGTTACTTGTCAAGAACGGTCAGTAGAAATATTTATCAAAATCTGAAATAAGCTTCATGTATTAGCATTCCTTTAAAATATTAATTTTACTGTCACATATAGAGAAATGTCTACATTTTTCTAGGGACAGTAACCTCCATTGTACCATTTATTCCCAACAAATTATACTACATCACTGAATATGTTTGTAAGGAATGCCAGAGAAAGAACATAGGTTTGATTTTTTTTTTCCTCTCTCTGAATATTTTCAGCATTTTTCACTGCAAAAATGACTGTATGTACACACTTGTGTCTGCTTGTTATTTTTAGGTATTATTGACTTTATTATTATTTACACAGTTGTTGATTTACCCTCTGAAAACCGATCTATATGTATCAAAGAAAATAATGCTTGCCTTCAAATAGTTTAGATGTAAATCTTCATCATCGCTTTAACGAGAATGTGCAGATCTATAAAGTCCCTCTCTCCACTCACTCCTTCCCACTTGTTGCAGGTCAAGCACACCAGCTCACCAACAACTCAAACACTGTAAAACTACTCTGTTATGCAATAGTAAGACAAAGATGTCTGAAACAAAAAACAATTCTGAAAAAGAATAATGATACAGAAAGCCCCACCCTGTAAGTTGATGACATTGGCTCATTAGGTTTATCAAGGGTGCCAAAGCTTTAAAATCAGCAACTTGCAGTTTTATTAATTAGTTTACCATAATTAGGGTGCATTCTTTATTGGGTATTAATTGGCAACATGTAGAACTGTATTATTTCCAAACAAGAAGCAGATATCAATCAGAAGGATTTATCACTTCCTGAAAGCACAACAGATGTTGCGTAATATCTAAGTGATCTTAGTTAATAAATGATTGTTAGTTGATGATATATTTGCTATTTTTAAGTCACTACTTATGAACTTAATGCTTTATTAGAACATTGTAAACTTAATTCTTCTCTTTCATGTTCTTTGTTTTCAGAAAGCTATAGATCTGGCCAGCAAAGCTGCCGAGGAAGACAAAGCCAAGAACTATGAAGAGGCCCTCAGATGCTATCAGCATGCAGTGCAATACTTCCTTCATGTTGTCAAGTGTGAGGAACCTGAGTTATCTCAGTGATGGATTTCGACAGCATTTCTGTTGTTTTAAACTGCACTTCTGTTCCACACAGCAGCACAATCTTAAGTCACTGAGTGTTGTGTTGCTGCAGATGAGACCCAGGGCGATCGAGCGAAGCAGAGCATCAGGGCCAAGTGTGTGGATTACCTGGACCGAGCCGAGCAGCTGAAGGAATATCTGAAGAAGAAGGAGAGTGCTCCTCCAGCCAAACCTGTCAAAGAGGCTGGTGACAAAGGGTAAGACCGATCAAGAAATCTGATGAATGAGTTGATTTTCTAGTCTAACTAATACTCACTGTTTAAGCTTTGCTCTAAAGAGCAAAAAACTTTCTGTTAAAAAAAAGAATAAAAGCTACACAATGTGGTACTAATAATGACGGCAGCTATCTAAGTTGTTTGAGTTAGTTACGTATAGAATGAAAACAGTTTATTTCCAGATCCAATTTCTTTGAAAGAACTGCCAGATTGACTCTAATGACTGACAGAGACCCATTTATACCTGTCTATATATGTTAATGGAAGAGTCCTACTTTGAACATTTTTTTAAGGTTTGCTTTGCTGTAGACTTGATGTTTTTACATATTCAATTGACTGTCTTAAGCTTGAAGTTCACTTTGCACAGCTGTGTGATTTTGGTATCAGTCATAGAGCGCACGATGCACAGGTGGAAAGATATTCACAAATCAGTCTGAGTCTCATTCAAATGAGGCAGTACAAAGCATGTCTGTGAGTGGACACAGTGGAACATTTTGTACTTCATGCTGAAAATAGTGGTTTCAGAACCATTTTTATTAATCTGCAGCCACCGGCTGTAGACTCTGCCTTTAATCATGACATTTCCTTGTTCCTTTGGTAAACGCTACTCATGCAGTGTCTGAGGTCAGCAGTTCAACTCTACTTGATTTGGTCACTTAGGCTCCGCCTACAGGCAGCCACAGAACCATTGAGGATTCTGCTGTGAGGGCTTAACAGAAAATGTATTTTAACCATAATAAAAATGACTGCTCATTCAAACACCTTAAAACTCAACACTGCACTTTCTTTGACCCCCAAGAATAAACCTGCTAAGTCTAAAGTTGAACAGATGAATGGTTGCCAAGAAAGGCAAAGAACAGACAGACAGACAGACACACACACACACACACACACACACACAGACTTCTTTATTTGTCTTTATTGTATGGAAAGTTTCTCCTTCAGTCCATTACATCTCTTCAGTCCTGTGAAGGCACCACGACACGTATTAGTATGTTGATATATCTGCAGCCTCCAATGTTTTGAAATGCAGCACCAGAGCTCATTGCCAATCTGCAATCTTGCAATCAGCAGCAGGCTCTTATAAAGTAAGCACACACACCTCCATTCTATCAGACAGGTTCGTTATAGCTGGGTTATTTATCCAGAAGAAAGAAGCTGATGTCTTCTGGGCATCACAGCCTCATTTACACCATTTTTACAAGAAAATATCCTTTATGTTTTTTATTTAAATGCATTACGTAGCAAACACTGCCATGTTGATTCTTCTCATTTGAAACACAGTTTAGTTTAATGCAGACTTAGGACTGACATGGCGCTACAGTGATGCACTCCTCACTAGCTGGCTGATGAAAGGGCCTGTCAGTAGTTTAGGAGTTGCTGTCATGCTTGACTGTGATTGGTTTAGTCAATTGAGAGTGACGAGACCAGTGATATGACTTACTAATCACTAAATCCTGATCTATAATTAACTTTAGTGAACACTTAAGCACCAAGCAAATAAGCCTGAACCCACTATCTATGCACAGATGTGTGCACTTTGCACTTGCGTGATTAAAATAGGTTACGCTCGCAGGTGAGGGAAGTATTTAATTAATGGTGTTCTAGCTGAACACTGTTGACATTTTCTCTGTATATTGTCATTACTCTTAAGTCTTTGTCAGAATCTTTTCCAGGAATCTCCAGGTCGATGACGACTAATTCAGATTGTCAGGAAATTAAATGACTGTACCTGTCCAGTGTTGCCCTACAGAATAAAAACTGTTGTTTAGTTATCAATAAAATCTAAATATATCACAATACGTTGTCTTTTTGTTTTATCATAGGAGTGAAAGTGATGAAGGGGATGATCCAGAGAAGAAGAAGTTCCAAAATCAACTCTCAGGTGAATCACGCTGTCACAGAATTTGATGACATTTTGTGAATTAAGTAGTTGTTCAACCTATAAAGAGTTTCTGATCTCTCTTACAGGTGCCATTGTTATGGAAAAGCCAAACATTAAGTGGGACGATGTTGCTGGACTTGAGGGAGCCAAAGAAGCCTTAAAAGAAGCTGTTATCCTGCCCATCAAATTCCCTCATCTGTTCACAGGTTGACAACAAAAGCCAGAGTTTTACACCTCCTGAAATTACTGTAAATGTGTGAGTGGTTTTAAAAATAAATACTGCCTCTGTTTGTGTAGGAAAGCGAACACCTTGGCGGGGGATCCTTCTGTTTGGCCCTCCAGGAACAGGAAAGTCCTACCTGGCCAAGGCGGTGGCCACAGAAGCCAACAACTCCACCTTCTTCTCCATCTCCTCCTCTGACCTTGTGTCCAAGTGGTTGGGAGAAAGTGAAAAGTGAGGCCCAGGTCATTTGAACAATAATTAATATGAGAATGTGAGAAACTGACTATTAAAAAAAACAAACATCTGTTTTCTCTCCACCTCTGTCTTTCTCCAGGTTGGTGAAGAACCTGTTCAGTTTAGCTCGAGAACACAAGCCATCCATCATTTTTATCGACGAGATTGACTCCCTCTGTGGCTCCAGGAGCGAGAACGAGAGCGAAGCGGCGCGCAGAATCAAGACGGAGTTCCTCGTCCAGATGCAGGGTGAGCAAGAGACACCTGAAAATCTGAATTAATAGCTGAAAAGCTGGACTTGGTTAAGAAGTATAAGAAATATCTTTCTCCTCTGGGGTTGCAACGAAGAGATTTCATTATCGACCAATCTGCTGATTACTTTCTTGATTGGTCGTTTTGTCTATAAACTGTCAGAAAATACTAAAAGTCAGCTGTGACTTCCCACAAAGTTCATGTATTATACACTGCTTAGACAAATTAAGGGAACACTTAATGATCACAGTGTAACACCTATTCAGCTAAACTTCTGGGATATCAATCTGTCCAGGTAGGAAGTATAAGTGATTGTGAATTCCCCCTTCAGTGGGTTAATAATTTTGGTTTCCACTGTCTGTTTTTATGTCATTGTGTTCTCAATAAATTACACTGTGTATATTAATGATTTAAGTGGTCCTTTAAGTTTTTTGAGCAGTGTAGTTGGTTGTTTTATTTGATTCCAAAACCTCAAAGATGTCCAGTTTACTTCGGGATATGACACATATTGTTGCACTGGAAAACTTGGAACAACCATTAATCTTTTATAAAATTAAATGCAGTTGATCGATTACTTGACAAATTTTTGCTGCTCTATTTTCCTCTCAGGTGTTGGAAATGATAATGATGGAATCCTGGTCTTGGGAGCAACAAACATACCATGGACACTGGACTCTGCTATTAGGAGGAGGTTAGCCTGATTTACCTCTCTAAAAAAAAAAAGTCCTACCGAATCTTCTCTCATCCATCATCCAGAACTGGTTTCCGTCCTGGTTGTGATGGATAACGACCAGGATTTAAGAGGTTCTGTGCTTTTAAAATGGCTGACTGAACCTTTTGTGCGTGTCTTAGGTTTGAAAAGCGAATCTACATTCCTCTGCCGGAGGAGCACGCCCGCTCCTTCATGTTCAAGCTGCATCTGGGCTCCACCCCCAACGAACTGACAGAGTCGGACTTCACAACTCTGGGCAAAAAGACGGCGGGTTACTCTGGAGCTGACGTCAGTATAATCGTGAGGGACGCCCTCATGCAGCCTGTCAGGAAGGTGCAGACGGCCACTCACTTCAAAAAGGTAAAACTGCAGTAAACTGTGTGTTCACCTGCACTTGTTATCCTGCTTGTCCACTTTCTAACTGCAAGAAAACTCCTTTGGGAAACCAGTTGGAATATATTATTCCAGTGTAGGACTGACAGAAGTAGATTTGACAAGACACCTGTATTACTACCTTTAAATACAGCACAACCTTGTTAGCTATGTCTCATTTCTGGGCAAATTGGTAAAGTAAATTTTAACTTAAAAATAAATGGTGACTAATAGTGCATTGCTGTGTTAACTAGCAATGGTTGGTTTGCCAGAGCTGAAAAGGGGAGCAATTATAATAACGGAGATAGAATAGACAGCAGCAACTGGGAGTACTGAGGAGTCTATGGCTGAAAAACCTGGGAAGTCTCCTTAACAGCTTCTGATGCTCTGGATAAAAAGAAACTCAGTGTTTGGAGGAAAGATCACAGTCTAAAATAGAAAGCGGATGACGTTGAGACATATGATTACAATCAAGCATCAGCAGTGTTATTGTGATGTTATTTTTACTGGCCCAAGTAAGAGAAAAAAGTCCATACTTCAGGTTTAATATATATTTTAATGCATTTTAAAGCTCAATGTTCAGCCTAGTTCACTGCTCTCATAGTGTTGTTTTCAACCACAGCAGACATGAAGCCGAAAACCTTGTGTACTACCTGCTTGCATTCAAACAGCAGAGAAACACAGTTCGCGGCTAGCTGGTGAACATAGTGGAGCATTTAGCAGCTCAAGAGAAACTGAAACCAAAACTATAGCTAAAAAGAGAGTGAGTTGCATTCACCAGATGATCAGAAAAATAGCTCTGAATTACTAATATTGCTTTGTAAAGTTGGATGTGTATATCAGCTAAAAACATGCTCACACATTTACCTTATCACATCTACGACTTATCCCTTTCTAAAGTGTGCTAAAAATCAGACATTGCAAGCCTGTTTTGTGTTTCTTTATTGTGTCTTCTTATTTTTATCTATCCACACGCACTAATTAAGGTTCGAGGGTCATCGTATAACAATCCTGGCGTTGTAGTGGATGACCTGCTGACTCCCTGCTCACCCGGAGATCCCAACGCCATAGAGATGACCTGGATGGAGGTCCCTGGCGAGAAACTTCTGGAGCCAGTTGTGTGCATGGTGAGAAAAGACTCAGTCAGCATAAATGATAAACATCGATCGACTCTATTCTGACTTGGCTCATGTTCTCTGTACAGACCGACATGCTGAGGTCACTAACAAACACCAAGCCGACAGTGAACGAGCAGGACTTGGAGAAGCTGAAGCAGTTTACTGAAGATTTTGGGCAAGAAGGCTGATAATGTTCGCATTCTCCTCATGAACGGAACAGTTATCTTCACTCTCAGTTAGGTTTCTGATTATTTGAGTCATGTTAGGTGTCAGAAAGGGTGGAAAATGTCCACAAGAGGACGCTGTAGCCCAAAGTTCGTACTCACTTTTTCATCAACCACTAACAAGTTAATCAACTGTTTCAGCACTAGTAATCTATCAACCTACAGAGACTCTATATTTTTCAGGGTTTTTTCATATTTCTTTGACTTATTACCAAATAATACTGTTTTTTAAATTAAAGTGTATTACTGTTTACTGTAAGTATGCAGATGGTGGTGGCTACAGTGAGTAGACGCACCTTTCCAGCACTACATTCTTCTTATTGTAGTTGAGACCGAACTAGTTTCACGGTTGTCTTTTATAAATGGGAATTTTTACTATAAAATCTGTCTCTATTTTAAATGTAAATAATCTTTTACTGGTTATTTTATTCTACTACATACAAAGTTATTGGCCTCTGGGGTTATATTGAGTTATTAAAAATGAAATACAATGCTTTTGAAAGCATTTCCAAGTTATGACATACTTCCTTGTGAGGTTAAATACCTATGCATATTTTCTGCACATTTAATTTACATCTAGTCATATTAACTTCCACATCTTGCTGTAATTGAGCGAAATTTCCAAACTATCAAACTTTAGCAGTCAGTTATTTATAGATCGATATACTCTGTTGCCTTTGGGTTTGAAATATATTTAAGAGTTTCTTTTGGGGTTTGCAAAAGTTACATAAATAAATTTTAAAAAAGGAGGTCATTTGCACTTTTCTTGTATCCTACTCAATATGTTCTGTGAACAAAAGTCTCAGGGTTAAAAATAAACAAAACAAAGCAAAAAAATAAAAGGAGTCATTATTAACTTTGTGAATATATTTAATTGTTAAAATACATCTCTTGGTTATAGTCATATTTAATGCAGGATAAATCATAATTGAATTAGTACATTTATTAAGCGAAATATAACAGGATTCATTTAATTTCACATCTACAAACAAATTTAAGACTTGTAGAAAAATGACATCAATGATACACTGCTTGCAAAACTGAAAATCTTTTACACCTCTCCGGTTGGTTTCATCAATAAATAAAGTACCTGTTTGATGTGCAAACCAAGATGTTTTCCATTGAGCAGAAGTTGCTATTTTGAATGCAAACATAATTAACCTGAAAACATTCGAGGCTTTTGGAGTGAAAAATAAAAGTCCAGGCCAATTGAAACGTCACTGAATCTCAAGAGACTGATTTACCTGATCTACGAGAATAAAAACCAGAACAAAAAATTCAAACACACTTGAAATCAAAAGGTAAGGTCCGACAGCTGCCAATGAAAGAAATGACAGTAAATAATGCATCCAAACATAGGAGTCAAGAGGAGTGATGTCCCTTTATACTCAAATGCTAGTGTTTCTCCATACACTTATTATTTCTGGTTAAGACAATAATATGACCAGATTCTACCAAATAGTTCCCTCAATATGTTAAAGTGATTATTGCTTTTTATTTCTCCACTTCTCTACATAACACTCATCACAGGCTGCCTCCTGCATTAATAACCTGAGGAACCGGAGAAAACACTGCATATTCACAACCAAAACAAAGTGAAATAACAAAAAGGTACAGTACACAGAAATTAACATAAAACCAGTAAAAAACAAAAACAAAACAAATACTGTAACGATTACTTTGCAAATACAAAGGACACCTGTGATCCATGAAACAAACCGAACTGAGAGGACCTGAAGTGTACGATGAAAGCAGAGGCGTTTTTCCTGTTGTTGTAATAACTCTTTAAAGTGAGTAATAGTTGTATTTTTTTTGGTTAAGAACATTCATATTCAGATGACATAAAAGGGGTTGGGAAACAGCAACACAGGGCATATGAGAAAGTGCTAACAGTATATGTACATATACAGATAGGTGACAAATTAAAGGAAAAAACCTGACAATTTGTTGGGTTCTCCATTCAAAATTTGTAAGGCGTTCACCTTAATATGTGAAGTGCAATGACGTATGTTGCAAATCAGCGCGATATAAATAAGATTGAATGAAAGTGAACTGATCTGAATTGAACACGCTATGGCTCTCTCATAGCCCTTTTCCACCAACAAGAACCAGGTGCTAGTGCTTAGTTGGTTCAAATCTCACACCTCCTAAGAGCATAGGCAAGGAGCCGAGTTAGAGCCACACCATTGCATCACTGTGAAATGTCAGTACGTCACTGCACTGTTTCTTTCCATTGAGAAGTTGGTCGAGGCGCCGCTCGTACCCGGCTGTAGCCATCTCCTGCTGGACTTTTTCGAACACAGGCTTGATCTGAGAGGCTCCCTCTAACTTATTTTGGATTTCAGTTAAAGAACACAGTGCCAGTAAGCACTAGGTTTCTTCTTGGATTAGGCATCCATATTGACCTATTTAGGTTTTTTTTTTTTAAAATGTAGCTACTCACTCAGCTGTTGTTTTAAAAAAATCCCGGCTCTGTGTTTCCACCAGTTTCGTTGGTCATGATAACCCCCAGCCCCTGATATACTCAGTTCTTAGCTCTGGCCCAGCAAAGAGTTGGTGCTTGCTAAGCACCAGGTTTGAGAACCTGGAGCCGGTGCTTGCTAAGCACCAGGTTTGAGAACCTGGAGCCGGTGCTTAGGTGGTGGAAACACAAAGAACTGGTGCTAAGTCAGGCTCTGGCTCCAAACTAGCACTGGAATCAGCTTGGTCAAAAAGGGGTAGCGGTCACCAGATCTCAACTCCTTTAGAAGATTCAGGATTAACATGTTGAGGCCGATACATGGTACTGTTTTGCTTTGAAGATGCACATCTACCTGTTTGCTGCCACTTGTAGGGCTCGTGTTAAAAATATGTGAAACCATCAGCTACACTTGTTTGTGTTTGTGCCATTGTTGTTCCTTTTGTTTTGGAGAAAACGTCTCAGCAGTCCTGAGAAATCGAATGCCAAATTGGATCGATGATGGAGAGCAGGCCTGTTGTATCTGCCGTCATAAGCAGCACTAATCAACCTTTCAGCTCATCAGCATCCAACCTATGCATAGCGTGATAGTTTGTTGGAAGACTGTACATAATCGCATCTCTGTAGCCTCTGCACTTGCACCTGTGCCCAGATACCAACACAAAACCAGAAATCCGCCTGTATCATTAAAACACTAGAAAGTATTTTTGGAAGAATCGTGTTACCCCTCCAGTAGAGTTCTAGAGACTTAAAGCATCAATCAATCTGGCAGCATGTTGTGGCCCGACACCTTACTAAGACACTTTATACTGGTTTTTTTCCTTTAACTTGTCACCTGTGTGTGTATACCATTAAATATAAAGGATTTTTTGTTTTAGGACACGTAGTGAGTAATTCACTGCCCATCACAATCATGCTTCATAGATGTAGCCCAACAGATACATTTCATTCCAACTCATGTGATGGCACACAGAAGAAGCCATATGCTGTGAATACAAGGAAACTGTGTGCTAATAAAGGTTACATTAGTCACGACACTAGAACACAGAGAAAAGAGAGCCGAGTGCCAAACCGGTAGCTGCTCCGGCAAGCATGCCCAACGCCACGTCTCCCCCGTCTTCACGCTGTCGCTCCCGAATAATGACATGGTTCACTTCGGGAGCAGCGTACCCACCTACAGAACACAACAGCAAAATTTTATTTAAATCTTACTGAAATTATTAATTAATCCTTACATTTGGGCTCAAGTTGCAACCAATTAGTTCTGGGTGCGCTGCCATGACATTTGTTTGCATTCATGTTCCCCTCAGGATGAATTGTCAGAATTTTGCCACCATCAGGTCAAATTTTTATCCAAATACCTCTCATCAACTTGAGCTGGACTTTCAAATAAGAGCCAATGTTTCGTGCTAAACTACGATGATTAACATTCTACCTGCTAAACATTAGCATGTTAGCATTGTTTGAGTTTGCATGCTGACATTAGTATTTAGCTCAGTTCACAGAGCTGCTAGCATGGCTGTAGACTCTTATTGTTGGCATAAAGTCTGCACTGGAATACAAAAAATAGAAAACGCACAATAAAGGAACCATCAGTAGAACCTGAGAGACAAATGATCTTGTTTAGTTTCACTGAGAGGCATTTAACATACAATATAATCATTTACATGTGCACATGTGCTGAGAAATGTGAGTGTTTTTACCTTGGTACTGATAGGGATAAGCAACAGCGTAGGGCTGCCCATCAGCAGAGTATACAATCTGTGTGGCATGTGGGGGAGCTGGAACATAGTCTCCATACGGACCTGGGGCATAAACCTGGTGAAGAATTACACAGAAGAGGTTACATGACCAGAGCAAGCACGCACTTCATATTTTAGAATAACCTGTCTGAATGTTAATGAATCTTTTAAACAGTTCTGTTGCTGCACCAGTAGATGGCAGCAGTCTCTGGGTTTCTCTGTTTGTCATACTCTTCTTCATGATTTTACTTAGATCATTGCCATGGTTTTCACTTTGGAAAGGTCATCTCAGACCAACGTAGTGATTAAATGTGGCCAACATTGCAAACACAAGAATAAAGTACAATAATATTGTAAATAGCACCAAACACTAACACTGAAAAGAAATGTCCTTAAATTAGGAGCACTTTAAATACGATGAAGTGTTCAACTGATAATATCTCTCCTTTGCCTCCCCACACACAGTAAAAATGTGCGTTAAACTGAAATGACTTTTTGTCAGTCACATGAATACTCTGCATTCCTTTTACCTGTGGGGGAGCATATTCTGAATAGGGAGGAGGAGCAGATGCCATTGCTTCCTGCGCAAAGCCGATCTGAGGAGTAGCGACCACCTAAAAATATCAAACAACACAAATGAGGCCAAGCAAACTTAGCAACAACACTGAGCGACGTGACATTAAGACAAACAGAAACAGTACAGAAGTCTGATAAATATTCATAGTGTTCCTCTCACAAAGACAGCTCCTTCTACATTACCATCACAGAGGTTATAAAAAAAGAGAATATGAGAACTGTCTCATACAGGAAAATATCCCTAACCTCCGGTCTTCTGTTTATTCTTTAGTCTGTCTGTTTAAGGAAATAAAGCTTCCGCATAGTGTGAGTACAGTTTCAGTCCAAGCTTTTTCATTAATAAGACAGATAATGACAGACAGACTGTCCTATGCTTGCAGCAAAATCCAATAACTACAAAAACTAGTAAAATCTCACCGTATTAATTCTGGCATCCTGAAGTGCCATGGTCCAGGCCCTATAAGAGAAAGTGGAAATTATCTCATCAACAAATTAAAATGTCTTCTCTGAAAACATAAAACACAGACAACCTAAATGCAAAATGTTCAACTTTACCAACACAAAAAGAGAAATAATTAATAATTCATCAAACTGATATAATGACTCGGCATTTATGTGCTGACTTACAGAGCATCATCTGCACTGTCTGCACACAGGCTGATGACCCGACCATCTCTGCATACTATCTGCAGCAGGGCATCGCGCGTCTTCCCCTCCGGTGGGTTCAGCTCTGAAAAAACAACGCAGCAGGACAAATTTTAAATAGGAGCAAAAACGCGTGAGTGTGAACCCGTGATATCAGCATGAACCCATGACAAGTACCCTGACATGCAGCAGAGCTGCGGATGTTGATGCAGTTGACCCTCATGTGGATGTCATCCTCCATGTCACGTCGTTGTTGGTCATTGTAGAACACGAGGCGTCCATCAGCCCACAAGTCAAACCAGTTTCTTTTCCACCGACGCAGTATGGTACCTTACATGGAAATATTCTACAGTTTATTTTCACTCTTTGTCACAGCATCTTAACCATCTGGATATTATACTGTATGTACTTATTAATTGCTGTATTGAGATTTTAATTTCAAAGAACATGCTGGGGCTGCAAGGTGGCTTGGTGGTTAGCACCGTTGCCTCGCAGCAAGACGGTCGCCTGTTCACGTCCCGGAGAGGACACCCGGGATCTTTCTGCGTGGAGTTTGCATGTTCTCCCCGTGCAGTGTGGGTTCTCTCCGGGTTCTCCGGCTTCCTCCCACACAGTTCAAAAACATGTTGAGGTTAATTGGTGATTCTAAATTGTCC